CTCAACCCCTTTAATGCTATTTCCTATTTCCTATTTCCTATTTTCTATTTCCTATTTCCTATTTCCTATTCCGGTGAAGCCAAAGTATAAGGATAGAGATAGTCATAAGCCAACAAAACTGAACATTGATGGTTCAATACAAGTTAAGGGTAGGAATAAATCAATAATATTTAAGGTTAGTGCAATCATCACAACAGCACAATAAGCCAGCAGGAGCTGTAAAAGTTAGAGTTACAATAAGGGAATGGCAGCTGGTAAATTATAGAGTAGCGGGCGGCAACACACGACGTAGTCGGGTGTTGTCGCCAGGGCTAGCTTAATAAAGAAGGTTGCAATGAGGGAATGAATGATACCGGGCGGCAACACACGACGTAGTCGGGCGTTGTCGCCAGGGCTAGCTTGAAAGATGGTGCAATCCGAACATAATCCTCCTTCTTCTATCTGTCTTTCTGCCGAGGTATCGCAGCTCCCGCTGACTTATTTTTATGACTCGGTCTCGCTCTCTCGCTTCTTGCTGCACGTGACATGGATCCGTTCTTTACCTTTAGAAAGATGTGATCTGTTTTCAAAGGCTTAACAAAATTATTCCACAGCCGTAGTATTTACTATTAGTAGACCCTACTACAGTACCGGTACGGTAGCATTAAATTCGAGAAAGTAAGTAGTCTACGGTACGGCGACTGTTTGGTTCCACGCAGTGGAATCAAGACCCTCCGCTGGGCTCTTGGGTTTTTGAACCAACGGAGTGCCTTTACGAAGACCAAGCTGGATTAAAACAGGGTCTCCATGCTCAATTCGCTCCATTGGTTTTGTGTGGAGCATACGGTACGTGGATGACGTGCAATCTGTGCTTGAACATGTGTGCTGCTGCGCTTGAAAGCGTGTGTTGTTTTGGCAGTTTTGTTTTATGGTTCTGAATGGTTGATAGACAGAATAATAGAATAGAATAGCATAGAATAGAATTGGATCAGCAGTCCAGTGGTTGCTATTAAAATACCGTACTGGTATTGTTTGGGAAGACAGGAGTGCTGCAATTCCAGAGCGAACGTGGTGCCACCACTAAGTCAAAACACTCGGCTCATTTGCTTTTGCGTTGCCAGGAAAATACTTGTAGATAAGCTAAACTAGCTAGACTAACGGCATGGATAGTTGCACAACTATTACTCTTGACGAACTATCCTCCTTTGTGTTGTCTCGAGATCAAGCTACGTACCGTAGGTAGCTACGTTCCGTGGCCTTTGAATAGTGACTCAACAGTCACGATCTTTTTTGACAAGGGCGACAATGGCACATCTCGATCGACGAGGCATGAGCACTCTTCCGCTTCCGCAACCGCACCGATACATACCAGTACTGTACAGTACCTCAATAGAGGAGGAAGGAGGGTACAGATACAGACTCTGACGATCGTATCAATCAGGCTATTTGAGTTGTGTGGGGAATAGGCAGTGAGAAAGAAAGACAAACGATCAAACGAGTGAGTGAGAAAAACCAACGATGGACCGTCGTCCCAGCATGGATCCTCCCGAAACGGGGAATGATCCACCTGCCAACGTTGCCAACCATGCAGCAGTGGCTCCATCGGCAGTGTCTCGAGATCCTCCCGCAGATGTCGTGGAGATTGTCGAGATTCCGAGCGACGATGACGAAGAAGTCAAGGTGGTCACCGTGGCAGCTCCAGCAGTAGCAGCTGCTCCCATACAGCAACAGCAACAACAATCACCCAAGGAGGAGACGAAGTCCAACACTGGTGATGCTCTCGAGAAAAAAGAAAAAGACGAGAAACCAGAGCCGCCTGAAGAAAAGGAGACCGAGCTAAAGAAAAAAGAGGATGTGCCGACAGAGACCCCACCGACAGCTTCCACGGAAACAGAGGGCGCTACTACCACAAATACAACTTCAGAGACGACGGACGGAAAGCAACAAGATCCCAAAGCATCCGATGCTGCCATCACCACCACCACCACTGGTACTAAGACTGCTGCAGATCCACCCGCCGTGGTGGTTGGACAGCAAGTAGAAGAGAAAGAGGAAAACGCCAAAGATGCACCACCATCAACCAGTGCAAATGGTGATACAACATCGGCCGAAACACAGGAGAATCAAGACAAATCTTCCAACAACAACAACCAAAATTCTCTCTCTGATGCTGCCGTTAGTACCAGTGAAGAACAGCCACCCAAAGACGCGGAACAGAAAACTTCCACACAGTCTCCAGATGCGGCTGTTCCTGTTCCTGTTCCAGCTACGGGCAATGGTGACAAACCCGCCGATGATTTGGACAAGACACCATCTGCAGATGACGGTCCAGTCCAACCAGTTGCGGACGACAACAAGAACAAGAACAACGACAACAATAAGAATGAAACCAGTGGCAATACTTCGACAACAAGCGAACCAAACATCCCAGCTCCTGCCACCAGTCAAACATCCACATCCGTGCCGATCAGTTCGGATAAAAAAGAAGCACTTGATCCCCCCGACAAATCTAGCGTCCCAAACGTCACAGAGACGACAACTACATCATCCCCAGCTGGGATCACAACAGCGGCTCCAGTTGACAGCAGTAGCAAGGAGGAGAAACAACCTGCCAATAATGAAAGTAGCAGCAGCAGCAAAGCGACGGTCGAGCAGAATCAATCACCACCCGCCAACGAAACGACGGAGAAGGAGGAAGATGTGGTCATGGTGGATGCCAGTAATAGCACTAGTCAAGCTGCAAAGACGAACGAGGACGAACCCAACAGTAAAGAGGGCGAAACAAAAACGTCACCACCACCACAGAAACAACCAGAAACAGAAACAGCTGCAACGAACAAGGACAATGTCGCTAAAGAGGCGGAGTTTGTGGTGAAACCTGCAGAAAAAACTCAACAACAACAATCCACACAGCAACAGTCCGAGTCTTCGGCAACTCCGACAACAGCACCGCCCGTGGCACTGCCCGTCGCTGTTGCTGCCAGTAACGACAGTGCCGAGAAGACAGAGGCAACAGAAGCAAAGGAAGCAGCTGCAGCAAAGTCAGCGGAACCCATGGAGATTGATGCAGACGAAAATACAAAGGAGTCAATGTCCAGCCAAGCGCAACCCGTCGAGGAGTCAACGCCCATTGCGTCGACTGCCGTGGAAGACTCCAATTCTGGAGATACCAACACCCCTGCTGCAGCAACAACTACTACTACTGATGCGGTCGCCAACAATGCTGTACAGGAAGAAGATGAGGAAGATGCGGTCTTTTTCCCCGATGCCTTTCCCACCCGAAAGAGGCGGCAGAAAGCAAAGCGCGCCAAGGCACAAAAGAAATTCAAAATCAACATTCGGTCGGTCACACCACCCGAAAGTCCCGTAAAGATTGAGAATACCAGTAGCCAGAAAGCAGACATGGCTCCATCCAATGTAGTATCGTCGGGAGGACATCCCGATGCGATTTCGTCCGAATTCAATTCCATGGCGGACGATTTTAGTTGTCCTGTCGACGACGACAACAACGACTATGATCGAAAAAGAATGGATCAGGAATTGGAGGATTCTCTGTGCTTCTTTCAGGAGACTCATGAAGAGCAAGATCCCTCCTACATTGAATTCATTGTCGAGCGGGAAGACAAGGTGCTAAAGAAGAAACTCGCACAGTTGGAAGCCGAAGATGCCGCGGGACGCAAAGACATTGATGTCGCCATTGGGGAACAATCCAAGGAAAAACAACTCCTGACCAATCGGAACATTGAAAAGTACCAGCAAAAGGCCGCACAGGAAGAAAAACGAGACATCCAGCGACTCATGCAGCTATACAATGAAAAAATGAACAACAACAATGCTCGGATTCAACAGGGGATCAAGATTTTGACAGAGCGACATCACAAGGAAACGCAGCGAAAGGCACAAGAACACCGAGCGCGGTTTCAGAATCAAACGCAAGCACCTCAAGCACAGCACGCATGGCAAATGATTCAGCAACAGCTCCATCGGAAACAGCATCAGCAAATGGCCGAGTTTCGTCAAAAGGGTGAGGAAATTAAAAAGAAGAGCGAAAACGATTTCAAAGCTCAGCAGGAAAAACTGCGTGCCAACTACCAACACAAATTGCAAGAGATTGAAGCGAGCAAACGCAAGGTTTATGCCAAGATTTACACTGGGTTTCAGAACTTGCGACAGCGGTATGTGAAACGGCACATGCAGAAAATTACGAAAAAGAAGGAGTTGCTGATTCAGCAAGCCAACGAAGCCAAAGAAAACCTGCGACGCAAATGTTCGCCTACTCCATTTGCCACCCCGAGTTCGTCTGCTGCGGGGAAGAAGAGGAGCTCCGATCCTGCCACTTCGGCGCATGACGCTGCGAAGAAGAAGATGGAAGAGAAAGAGGAGCTGCGATCGCCGTCACCCATCAAATCCAATTTGGACTGGAAAAAGGACGAGGGCCTAGCTGATCAGGAGGAAGTGTCGGGTGGTTCAGCTCGACACAAGCAACGCAAATCGATCTTTAGTCAACTTAGCAAGCAGTTGTCTGTCGAAATCCACAACGAAGGCTTGTGGATCTCAGTCTACGCCGATAAGAATGCAACCAAGGACGGCGAGGGGGGCGGAAACACGGAGGATGCCAGCAGTCGGAGCAATACAACTCGAAATAGTGATAAAGCGAAAAACTCGGGGAACAAGAGCGGGGATGGTGACAAGAAAAACGATAAGGACAAGTCGACCGATGGTAAGGAAATCGATAAGACTCAAGAAAAATTCATTCCCTGGGGCGTCGAGGCGCACACAATTCTCCACTCAATCGTTTGCGGGGAAGTGCCCCGTGGCTATCATTACATGGATAAGAGTGCTCCCGATTTTGGGGATTCTCTGTCCGCGCAAGGAGGTCACGTGCGTTGTGTTGTGACGGATCTAAGGACCAATGAAAATACTGCGTCGGCTCAGCGAGCTGCATCTATTCGGGAACAAGAAGATGCGAGTCTTCAACAGCTGGAGAAAAAAATCGTCGAGCTGTCCTCCTTGGCAAGTGAGGCCGAGACAACCTTGAGCAGGGCGGAAAACGAAGAGAAAGAAGCAAAAGCGGCGGTCGACACTGGAGCTGCTGAACTCGAGAAGGCCAAACAGATTCAGTTGGACTTTCGGACCAAATTCGCCAACTATCTTGGCCCTGGTAAGTAGCATCCGTGGTCGCTAATTGCGTCCACTCGTTAGTCCTGACAGATGATCTTGAAATTGCAGATGGAAACCCGCTGCCAACGGCCAACCCGGGTGACAGGTATGTGTTCAGTGGACCCTCGTATCGTTTCGTTTCCATAAGCTCATTGATGACCAACGCTAACCTCCATTTAGAAATGAACTTGCAAAGGCGATCGTACGGTACAAGACGAACCTCGAGGCAGCTGCCAATCGACACAAGACTGCAACAAGCAACTACGGCGAAGCACGCACTCGTACACAGAAAATGCAACAGGTATGTCCGGGAATTTGTGCGTTGCTCTCATCAAGATTTGTATCACGATGCAGCCTGCCGCTCACATGTTGCATTTCCTGCATTCCCAGTTGGCCAAGCATTCACAAAAGGCTGTCGCCGTTGCCACGAATGTGTTGAAGAAGAAAAAGGCCACCTTAGAACCTAGGAGCAAGGGGAGAGCTAAGCTCTCCGAGGCGGCTGAAAATGAGCGTGCCGCCGGTAGAGTGAAAGATGTCATTGCATCGTTGCATAAGACAGCTGAAAAGCGACGAGAACAACTGAATCAGAAGAGACTCAATAATGCCAGCAGCACATGGGTTCAAGCGTTACTGCCGGGCATTCCGGGACCTCTAAAGAAAAGTCTCTGGCATAAGATGCACCGGCGACGACAACAGATCGTTCTCCGGCCTTCGCTCGAATCTTTGACGTTGGATCTTCGTGAGTCTGTAGCAAAAGCAATGAAAGCAACTCCTTCGTCAAAGAAGCAACACGTCGATTTGGAGGAGGATCAACAGAGAGCCGAGCAGTTGTTTTGCCTTGCCATGTACCCAGTGGCTCCAGATCCTCCATTGCCAGCAGTGCCTCCCTCAGGCTCGTCTTCAGCAGCGTGGGCAGAGCCAGGTAAGCAAACATGATGTTCTTTGTGTCTGCGGTTTGATCGTGGTCTGCCCTGGACGCGATCTTATGCATCCATTGTTGCTTGGCAATCAAAGGTTGGCACTTGCGTCTGGATGCCCCTAAGGAAGAGAAAACTTCCCATATCTTGCCGTGTGCTCCATCGTTTCCTATATTCAGCAAGAACCTTGCCGAGATGACTTCCACACCGGGTCGCCAAGCTGCGGCCTTCAGCCGAACGTCGCACTTGCGCAGTCTTGCCTCGCAGTTGTCTTCCGTCGCTACGGCCACGAGTCTCGCGGAAACCAATCCTTCGGCACCATCAGAAGGTAATGTTTGGCAGCAGTTGCGGCGATCGAGAGTCGAGTCCATTCCGTCACCTGACCTATATTCTGCCCTTCGCCTCTTCTCCGCTATTCGTAGTATCGTTGGCTGAAGGAGACCCACTGAATATATCTCCCGATGCCATGATGGTCGGCTATTCGTTTCATCTCCCCCCACCTCCCAAACAAACCACAGCGAAACGCAAGTCAACTACTTCTGCATCTACGGTCAAGGAAAACGCTGCCGAAGTGGCTGCTGAAGCCGCCGCCAAGAGCAAACAGGAAACCACCTCTTTGTCTTCGGCTGCCGCTTCCAAGACTACGGATCAATCTGCTAGCAGTGCGGGAGCCACTGGGGCTGGAGCTGAGAAGAAAAAGCCGGAAACCAAGCGACGACGAACTTCCAAGACTACGGCTGCGAATCCTTCACCTCGGGCCCGAAAAGGGAGCAAAACTGATGCAGCAACGAAGCGAGCTGCTGCTGCCGTTCAACCGCCTCCTCCGATGGCCCGCACTCCGTCGTCCTCGTATGCCAGGCAACCAACTCCCGCTGCAGCTGCTGCTGCCCCGCCGGCCACGTATGCCAGGCAACCAGCTCCCACTGCGGCTGCTGCTGCACCGTCGTCGACGTATGCCAGACAACCAACTCCCACGGCGGCTGCTGCTGCCGCCGCCGCAGCTCAATACAATCAATACATGAAACATTCACCTCCGCAAGGTCAACAGGCACCGCCCCAACAGCAGCCAAATTACCAATTAATGCAGCAGCAGCAGCAGCAACAGGCTTCCCGTCAAGCTCCACAGTATGGAAGCCCCCAGCAAGCACATCAGCTAGCTCAGCTTCGTATGATGCAGCAGCAGCAGCAACAACAGCAGGGACAACGTGCCGTAGGCTATCCTCCTCAACCTGGACCACCTCAACGTGGTGCCAGCCAGGCCATGGCACCCCAGCCGTTTTTCAATCCGATGGCTCCTGCTCCCGGCGGACAACCGTATCAACCGATGCCGATGCAAGGGATGCAGCAAATGCCTCCCATGGGCCAACCTGGAATGCCTCATCATTTGCAACAGCAGCATCAGCAGCAACAACAACAAAATCGCAAACCAGGTAAGGATCCAAAACAACACGAAACGTGACGATTTGAGATCTTTTGTCGTTTCTAACCTACCTATTACTCTCTCTTCCTGTCTTGGCACAGGTTACTAGCTAGCTATGCAATACGGCAGCTAGAAGAGAATGGATTTGAATGCTCGAGTCGAGTCGTCTCGAGCGCGGCAACCGGCATGAATTCAGCGAACATTACACTCTCTAGCTGGCTAGCTGCTGACAGCAAATAGGTTTTCTACGAAATTCAGAATCAGTGTTCAATTGTCATCCTACTAGTACTAATCGCTTTAACCTGTGGTATGATCTGAATCAATCATAATAGCTTTTAACCATTTACTACTACGTGTCTTCCACTACCTCAACACCAACTCACGTCACATTTCCTTTCCAGTTGATTGTTTTTAAAAAGTCACGTTTCCTCTGTCATCCGGTTGATTGATATTATTCTTTCTCCTAACATTTTTGCTCGAAATTCAATCGTAGATTTAGTTGAATGACATTTGATTATCACTGCGCTGACATGCCTGAAGCTGTTCGTAAAGGAACGAGCACGACTGCTGATCTCCCTTGTTGATTTGAAGGCATTCGTAGAACATTTGTTTATCATTGGCACAAGCACCCATCAATTGTGGTTGCTGCTGCGTCATCATGGACTGTTGCTGTTCCTGTTCGACCGGAGCGCCTTCGCCACCGCCTCCCATGCTTCCAGCCACGGCACCGACGGCACGATGGGCAATGGCGGAACCAGTTCCAAAGGCCATTCCCTGTGCAATGGTGGATCCAATCCCAGACAGCATGCCGCCGCCAGCAGCGGGTGCCTGCATGGGAGCAGGAGTGCTAGTAGATGCATTACGGGCAGGAGGAGCTGCGGCAGGACGACGAGCAGGAGCTGGAGCCGCACGGCGACTGCCAAGACCACCACCACCACCGCCACGACGAGATCGCTATCAAATCGCAAAAACAGAGAAGAAAGAAGGAAAAAAGGTGAGAGAAAGGCATCGGAAAAACACAAAAGATTCTTCCACTCGAGGGTGGCCATCCTCTTTCTCTCCATCCAACTAGTGATGAATCAAGGAGAGACGCCCGACCCGAAACGAACACTGCCAACACCGCCATTGTCAACACTTACACCCATGATTATTATATTAGTTAGTTAGCTGGTAGCTGTTGTTGTCCTTGAAAGTAGCAAGGGTTTTGCTTTTTGTGTTGTTTCCATTGGAGGCTGAATTGGCCAACGAGGGTTCCCACTCAAAGATCCACTTCTTGGTACATTTTCTACGAAGAATCACCGTTCACAAAAACGGTTGGCGGAGGGACGTTCGACGGAGATGATGTGGAAGTGACGCTTGACAGCCTTTGAATCGTGTTTGATCTGGTGCGTTGCTTTGGGATTGGCTTGACGAGTTGTGGGAGTGCAACATCGGCGGCCTTCGAAAGAGCTCGGGTCGTGCTGAAGGGTGGCGCTTGGTGTGGCGGAGACCAACATCTATCTACCTCTCTATCTATTTAAAGGTAGTGGGTTGCTGAAGGATCCAAGCTCTGATATACAAGGGACCCCGCCCTCTCCTTTCTTCGTCGTCAATGCCATGTCCCGCCGAACGCAATCCACCCGGCATCGTTCTCCGCTAGTACATCACATGAAAGCACAGCACATCACATCAAAGACGACGATGAAGTCTCCAAAGCATCTACCAAAACATCTACAGCTGCTAGCTAGTAGTGAGATACTGTAAGATCGCAACAGATCCTGTTCCTGGCAGATACGAGCCGTATCGCGGCAGCACAGAAAAGAATTTTTTATGAGCCTTGAAACCCGCAAGATCCGCGTGGGAGTGACAATACGGATCAATTGTTCATTCACACGCGTTCCTTCATGGAAACCCATAGGAACATTGGAGGATTGAAAGGTAAACCACGACAACCTTGGTGGACAAGATTTGCTGCTGATTGACTTTGTTGGCTCAAATCCATAAACTTCTTGGATTGGCAAAAGTTCCACAGGTAACTTGCTCTTATAGCTACTATACACAATAATTCAACAAAATGGAAACCATGTTGATGCAAAAGCTCCTCGACAAAGAACAAACCAAAGTTTTCGACAAAAGAGACAAGGGTGAATTCGAACAAGAAATGGTTCCGGATGAAGCAATCCATACCGCCAGAGTTGCAAGCAGCCTCCTTGGAATTTGCATTGGAATCTTCATCCAAGGCTCCACTTTGGCATTGTCCTATCTGCTAACAGTTTTTGTTGGGTTTGAAGATGACGCTCTGTCTGACCGAGTCTGCTACACTGTAGCATTGGTTTGGTCTGTTGTTTCCAGCATGATGGGTGTGAGTGTGCTTCTTTTGATGAGAAGCATCTTGATCACAGCATTTTACTCAACACATGATAGCGACATTGAACACAACACAAGAACTCTTGAAGCCCAGGAAGAACTCATGGCCCAAATCATCGACATCACCCAGAAATACTACACGATCGGCTCATTGTTTGGATTTGGCTTGTCATGGACTGTTGCTGACTACCTTCTGGGCCTCAAAAGGCCACCTTTATCCAAGTTTCGCAACTCTATCAATTGCCATTGTTTGGTACATTTGTTCTTCCACCAAGTGCGCCTCCTTCAAAGGCCACTGCGCCAAGATCCAAGATAAGGATGAGGAGGACCACCTTGGCCCCAACAAAGATATTTCTGCGACTTGGGACTTGGAACATCCGGCTTCCAAGCAGGCCCAGGGCTGATTCCCTGAAACACCAACAAAGCCTATATACCGGTATTAGCAAAGTAGCAGCACAGTGTGTATACATATTTGCTCCAAAACTGCCGCGGTCTACCAGGTTTGAGAGTAAAATAAAAGTAAGATTCAATAATTACTAAGTATCCAACATATGAATTAAGTAAGACTGGGTGGTAGCCACCACATTTTGTCATCGCGTAACAGGCTATACTATGTCATGGCATCTCCTCCGCTACATCTTGTTGTGGAAGGAGGAAAGCCCAATCGACCATTCAGTCACACCAGACTGGCCATCGTTGTCGATTCTGGTCAGCTGCGCAGAGCTTCCTCCCACCGTCAGAATCGAGGGGCATAGCCAGAAACTCCTCACATCCAGAGGGCGTTCTCCATCTCTCGCTGCATGTGCATTCGCTCGTGCTCAAAACTGTATCGATGTGCACAACTCGTGCTTGCTCCTCGATCTCCGATGCAGACACATCAGAACGACAAAACCAGTCATATCTGTTGGGTTCCAAGTTCCCATTGAAGCATGCGCGTTGCTTCCTGGAACACCCTGTCACCAGTCCACTCAAAGCCAGGCACCATGAGTGTCAGGTGTGTGCCGATGGAACCAACGACCTCCACTCCCAAAGGATCCATGAAGGCAGTTTGCACCACGGAGGTCAATTTCTGAGTTGACCCGGAAGCTTTTTCTTGACGTATGGAAGCCGAACGCATGATGGCGGAAGCCACGCCACCCTTGGATTGAACTATGCTCAGTGATGTAATCACATGTGATGACCTCTTGCAAGTGATGCTGAGCCAAGATGGACTGTGTTGTCCATCATTCATCACTGCATTTGCCACAGTACGTTCCAAGGGAACTCGTGTGAACAAACAAAGAGCCGGAACTCAATACAACGCCGAGAAAGCTGCACACGCATCACTTTGACTATCTTGTTCTACTATGGGTGCAAGGAGTACAATTGCATCCGCAGAGACAAGTACCCTGGCATGCTGCATCTACTGTCCTGACACGTTGGCACTGCCTACCAAAACACTGAAATCTCTCTTTGTACAATTTGCTGCACAGCTTGTCAGGGATCCTGCCTGATAACAAAGTATTTTTCAGTACCAAGCTTGTCAAGTTGTCCAAGGCATGCAGCTCCGTCGGAATTGTGCCAGATAGGTATGTATTCTGCAGTTCCAGCTGCTTGAGACTGGAGAGCACACCAATTTCTGTTGGAATGGAGCCTGAGAACAGGTTGTCCTTGATGGACAACACCTGCAACTTTGTCAGTTCCGACAAGAGATGAGGTGGTAGTCTACCATTCAAATGGTTTGAGCCAAGCTTCAACTGGGCGAGATCTGCAGGATGAAAACTGAAGAAAGTGAGTGAAAAATGTACATAATATCATAAAAAAGACAAGAACTTCAACTTACTGGGCAACTCTGATAGCACACGAGGAAAGGTTCCGGAGATTGAACAATTCTGGAGAGTAAGCAGAGCCTTTCAGAGTCGGACAACATCCAATGGGCATTTTTTGAATAGCCGTGCAAGTCAAAAAGGAATGAGAAAAGCACCATTTCCACCCACAAAGTCTAGTTAGAAAGCCTTACCAGATTGGTTACTTTTTTGATCTCCACAGGTAGCGTCCCTTTGATGTTCCAATCTTCCAAAAAGAGAACAAAGAGTTCTGATAGCTCTCCAAGGTTCACTGTGCCAGCAAAGAAAGCAAAGTTCAGTCAGTGAATGATCAGCAGCCTTTAAAACACTCTGGCTAGTCCAGATGGGACTACCGATACTCAACATGAAAATGATGTCTCCTCCTCAACCTCCATATTAGTGAGGCTAAGTGTTTTCAAATGGTGCATATGCCTTACAACCTCTGGAAGGAGGTAATCCGGATTAAGTCCAGGACTCCCTTCCACAGAAAAATGTTTCATCTGTTGCAACTGGTAGATCTCACTGGGGAAGGTCCCTGAAATGATCAAAGAAGTCCAAATGTTAGCTTCCTGTATCCACAAGCAACGAATACATGAACGCATACGATACCTGTGAGAGCTGTGTTTATCAAAGTAAGATCTGTTAGGTTCAACAAATTGCCAAGCTCTGAAGGAAGAGGCCCAGAGATGTGACTGTGGGTGACTCTGAGACTGGTAAGATATTGCAGACAACCCAACTCTGTTGGAAGGCTGCCTGAAAGACCAGATAAACCAAATGACATCATTGTGAGGTTTGTCAAGAGTCCAATCTCTGTTGGGAGGGTTCCAGAAAGTTCAGCGTTTCCAGAAATCTGCAATGTTTGTAAGCCATTGCCCAGCAAGAATATCTCAGGAGGAAGTGTTCCTTCCAGATTGTTGGCATTCCAAAATACCAGTGCCTTGATTTCTCCCATCTCATTACAGGACAGGTCTGGAGAGAATGTGAGATTCCAGAAAATTTGTTCCCAGCTGCATTCATTAGTCTCCCAATCCAGCCAGCCACGATGTTTCACCCAATAGTCCCCTCTTGTGGAACAGTAGAATGTGGCCAGAGCAAATCTTTGTGCCAGTCTCCATTTTGGTAGATCTGGTTGAGTGAAGAAGGTTTGGTTATTGATGTTGTTGACCAACCATTGATATGCCTTGGACTGAGGAGATCTGGAGTTTGCCAGAGCCTCTTGTGTGTAGTGAGGTAGATTGAGTGACTCCAAAAAGGTCTGTTCTGTTGCAACTTCCACAGGATTTGCAGGAATATGGATTGATTCATTTTGATTTTGTAGTTGATTTCTGTTTCCTTGTGTGGATGTCAGCACAAAAATGAGGACAATAATAGACACAACAAGGAGAGCCACAATGATCTCAGCGGAAAGGGAACAAAGCAATTTTTGCCTCCAGTACTGTCTTGATCTCTGGTCCGTTGGAAGTGGCTCTGCATTGGGTAACAAGTCTATCTGCTGATCATCGTCTATAGGATGTGCAATGATTTCATCATCTGCAATTTCTTCAACCCAATTGTCAAGGCCTTCCTCACTGGTACCAGTATTACTCCTGTCATTTGCAAGAAATGGACCATCAACGGGATAGGCTCCAGGTATCCATTGTAGTTGTCTACAAGAATATCCAGGTTGTCTTGTTAGAATTGTTTGTTGTGGCATTTGTGCATCCTCTGCGGTACTGTCATAGTTGTTGTTGTTGTTGTTGTCAATCTCCTTTTCGGCGACTTGTACTAGCTCCACGTCTCCAGCTGTCTCAAGCTCAAGACGTGCAGCATCAGCTCTTTCTCTGACAATTTTCATAATATCAAAGCCACTTGTGGTGGTGGCAGCAGGACTACTACTAGGACAAGAAGAAGAACGACTCGAGGAATCATCAGGATCATCTTGCGTTTGTTTTTAAAATAATAGACTCATGCTCTTCTTGACAATTTTCTGAATTTCCTAGCTGCAATCTCAACTCCACGATCTTGAGAAGATCAACATCATCATCATTGTTGTTGTTGTTGTTGTTATTAGACATGGTGGTCAATCAACGGATAAAGCAAAGCAATTACCTCGGCAGTCTATCTGCCTGAGCCCTCACCCCCTTTTTTGGTATTTCCTGCTTCCTGCTTCCTGTTTCCTGCTTCCTGTTTCCTGTTCCGGTGAAGCCAAAATATAGGGATAGAGATAGGCACAAGCCAACTCTACAATTTAGGGGTAGGAATAAATCATGATTATTCAAGGTTAGTGCACTCAATACAATAATCCAGCAGAAGCTACAAACGTTACAGGTACGTACGGGAGTGACAGCTGTAAAATTATGGTTAGCGGGCGGCAACACACGACGAAGTCGGGTGTTGTCGCCAGGGCTAGCTTAAATAAAAAGAAGGTTATAATGAAGGAATGATACCGGGCGGCAACACACGTTCGTCGTGTGTTGCCGCCAGGGCTACCTTGAAAGAAGGGTGCAATCTCAAACATGTTATCATTCTTCTATCTGTCTTTCTGCCGAGGTATCGCAGCTCCCGCTGACTTAAATCCATGGGGAAACCATTTTCCGTCAGAGATCTCTCACGGCGAATCTTTGGATCCAACGGTCTTCGCCCAAGCGCCAACACGCTTGTTTGACACTTCCTTGATCCTTGATGATGCCCTAATGTTCCGCATCACCCTTGCTTTCACTGTCTCTTTATTAGCAATACGTAGCTTTCCAATACAAACCCATTCTAACTTTACTAATAATTGAGTAACGACACACACGATGGGCAACATTTGCTTCTGCTGTCCTTCGAACGACGACTTGAATGATGACGATGTGTCGGCAAACGAGCGAGATGGTCTCCTGCAACGAAGGAAAAAGCCGTCGAGTAGTTCGAGGATCCTGGGGATCATTCCAGTAGACGACGATTGGGCCGATGAGATTTGGTACGATGCGTTGGAACACAAGGGCAGCAGTAGTATTCGGAACACGCATTCCGTGGACAGTGGCATGCATTACCACGATGCGCAAGAAGAAGAAGAAGAAGAACACCAAGAAAAAGACGAAGCCGTCTTTTTGTTTTCCGATGACGAATTGTCCATTTTGAAAAATGCCTTGGCGGAACAGTTCCCCGACGACAGTCACTACATGAGCGATGCCTATCTACGATCGGTCGCCAGCAAACCGTACAGCAAAGACCCTACACAACGACGTCCTCTGGAATACACTCTGGAAAAACTAATTCACGTGCTGCAATGGCGACACGAAAATCGAGCGTCGCAATTGCCCACGTATATTGATCACTGCAATACACTCGACTATAAACAACAACCCAAATTTGCTCAAGCCATGGTGGAATCTCTCAACAATGGAAGCATGTATTGGCACGGTCTCACCAAAGGTGGTCGTCCCGTGCTATGGATTCGCACCAATCGAAAATTCTGGTATCCCAACGTGCAAGCCGAAGTCGATGCTCTCATTGCCATGGCCGATGCCGGAATTATGGCCATGCCACCGGGTGTGACAGATTTTGTCGTCGTCAGTCACTCGTACAAACCACCCCCGCCCAATCCAACCTTTGCCTTTCAAATGTTAAAGGGACTCGTCAAGGGATATCCCGATCGCATGCAGTCTCTCATGAGTGCTCCCGTATCGGGCATTGTCGAATTTTGTATGAATTTGTTATTGCCACTCATGCCAGGACGGTTGGCACATAAATTCCACTTTTACAATGAAGCCCATGCCGTACAACACTTGACGAGATTGCTACAACATGGACTCGATGATATTCCAACCTTTTTGGGAGGACCCAACAAAGATCACGATGTATACTATCCAGAACAAAACAAATGTCCCAGTCGGGGTCAAGGCATGTTGACATTTGATTGGTATGGAATGAAGGAGCGTCTGCAAGAGCAATGTGACTTGTTTGCGCAACAACAGCAAGAACAACAACATCAACAGGAACAACAACAAAAAGACATGATACTTCACCAAGGAGACAGTGTGGATGGGAACATTATAGTGAACACTAATGGTTTCGTTTGAGGAGATTATTATTTTGGAGTGATGTATTTGTGGGGAACCAAATCAGTGGACTGACTTGTAAGATGTTTTCAGAGCATCCGTGGCGGGCAGCATTTGTTTACTGAAATGATACTGTAACGTATGTTAGCTGGCGCATTCTCGAAACAAATTGTGGTTTGCCAGTGCTGCTTGCTACATAGCTAGCTAGCTAGCTTCATTCGTTAAGGGTCTATGAATGTGCTTATCATCACAGCCTACTCACCTACCGGTACTGTCAAAACAACACTGATTGTCGCGCCACAAAGCCTACTGTATACCAGCCAAGCGACTTGCTCTACTTGGGAGACGTATGAAACATCTTCTCCTGGAGGCAAAATTGCGCATTTTGTTGGCAGTTCCCAAACTCAAGTTCGAGGCTGCACTCCTTCCAGGCTTCTCTTCGAATTGTGCGGCGTGAAGTGGCTACGAGAAAAGCTCTATTATTAGCTGTTTATCTCTCGAGAGTAAGGAGAGCAACGGTGGGCCAGCAGGCGCAACCCTCGCGGGGATGCAAGGCTGAGTGTCGTGAAGGAGCCATGCTAGGACTCTTCTCTTTGAACTTCCTCGTCTCTGTCCCCCGTCACAACCGGTGCGGAAAAGAATCGCAGCTTTGGCAATTCGAGGGTGAGCTGTGCTGAGTTGCTCATTGTGAATTCGCTTCCGGCCAGCTGGAGCTCTTCCAATTGCTTCAGTCTTCTCAAAGACAAAGGAAAGGAAGTAAAGGCATTGTTGCAGAGCAGCAGCTTTCGCAGCATGGACAGTCTTCCAAAGGACGATGGCAATGCTTGGAGTTTGTTGTCATTTGCTGCAAAGCTCCGGAGATTCTTCAATGCTCCAAAAGAGTCCGGAAGGAAGACAAGATTGTTTCGAGACACGTCGAGAGCCTACAAAAGGGAACACGCGGGGCAAGAAGATAGGATAGGATTTGCACTTTCATCTCCAGAGACAGGAAGCAAAACAACAAATCAAAACGCACCTTCAAGTTCGACAGGTAGACACCAAACGAAAATGGCAGATCGAGTAGCTCACAAGAAACGAGGCTCAAGGAGGTGATCTTATTTCCATAAACAAGCAGACTCATCGGGAACCTTGTTGACAGTTCTGATCTAGATAGACTTTGGATGCTTGATCCAGATTGCAGTACAATTGAAAGGTCCTCAGTTCCATCCCTCAGCAACGAGGTGCTCAGGCTGCTCAGCTTTGTGGCTTCTTTCGAACCATTGGATTTTGTTGCCCGTGCACTACCTGGTAGCTTCATTCGAGCCAGAAGGTTCCAGTCGCCCGCAAGGCAAACGTGGTGTAGGTCCAATCCCAGCATTGCAACCGTGATTGCCAGTGCCTCGTGTTGCTGCTTCAAATCCTTCGGTAACAACGTCCCCGAGCGCCGTGCTGGCTTGTTTGTCGTCATGGCTTGTTGGCTAAACGGAAGAGAACTCCGCAGGTGAAGCAATTGTGACCAAAGAAGTTCCGAATATGTCATAAAGTTGGGCAGTTTGCTCTTGGTGGTTGAAATGCTCAGTGCGTCTTCTAATCGATGCTGAGCTTTAGCGTATTGACCAAGGCGACAAGAAAGGCTCGCAGATGCTGCCAAGATGGGAGTGAACAGGAGCTCGAGAATGGGAGATTCGTCATCAGCGCTTCGGGGGTTGTTCGTCAACTGCTTTATGATTCCGTAGATTGCAACGTCAAGCTGTACCAATGAAGAGAAGGCAAGAGCATGGATGTTGCCCCCTTCAAGACCATTTAGATAATCCACAGCTCCTTCCAGAACACCAAGAAGGATGTATCCGAAGTATATGTAAGACCTTTGAAAGACGGCAGAACGTGGGAGAACTCTTGTTCGCTGGCAAAGACGACTTTTCACAATAGTCCAGATTGACTTCACGTAGTCGTTTGCCGCTGCATCCAACGAGAAACGCGCTCGGACTGCGGACGAGAACACGAGTGCCTCCCGCAAGTTTGATAGCAAAGCGAGACTGAGCCGCATTTCATGCTTGTCGTCCGAGACGCCTTCTGCGTCGTCTTTGCGAAAAACCGCCTCTTTGACAGATTCACGAATATACCAAGCATCAAGCTTCCGCCCGTGATTGGGGTATCCTTGCTCTAAATCATTCTCCCCGCTCTCAGAGAGCATGCCCGATAATTGGTTCGACCAGTCAGAACCCCAATGCAAGGACCAAGGTTCGTCCTCGGTGCTGATGGCGAGAGCATGGTGACATCGCTTCAAGCGATCTGAAATGAGTGCAAGTAGCAACTGGCAGCGAAATGTGCCGCGGATGCCATGCTGGCAGGAGTAAGCGGTTTTCAGCGTTGGTAGTAAAGTCTCCAAAACCTGATGGAAAACGGCCGTGGTCTTGCCCTCGACCGTGCTGTTTTCTCTTGACGCGCTCCGCATCACGTTCGCTGCAATGGTGCACAATGGCTCCGTCAAGTCAAATCTTCCAGCATGGACCATTAGACCGGCACAGTCCACTACCCTGGCGGTGAACGCAAACACTTGTTGAGCTGAACTGGAGGTTGGGATGGTTCCATGATATTCTAGTACACGCGGCCCGTCTTTGTTTCTGTGAGCTTGGAATTCCCCGTAAGAGAGTAGAAAGTCATCAAACGAAGAGAGCTCTTGGGGTGTGTTTTGCGACATTCCGTTTTCCTCGCTACGCCACCACGGCCAGCTTGGAATCTTTTCAATCGAGGTTTGCAATTCCTCATTTGCTCCTGAAGTCCTGCCTGTCGTGAGGCGTAAGAGTCCAGCAGTCTCCAAGTCGACGACGCCATCTGATTCATCGTCTGCGTCAGATTCCCCGCGTTCCTCCACTGAACCGTCGCCGAAAGGGATGAAATCCATGTTCGCATCGAACTCGTTGGAGGCAACAACATGCTCATTGTCGTTCTCCTGCGAATCACTTTTTGTTTCGGCCCCGCGTTCCTCCACTGAACCGTCGCCGAAAGGGACGAAATCCATGTTCGCATCGAACTCGTTGGAGGAACAACATGCTCATTGTCGTTCTCCTGCGAATCACTTTTTGTTTCGGCCCCGCGTTCCTCCGCTGACCCGTCGCCAAATGGGATGAAATCCATGTTTGCATCAAACTCGTTACAGGCAACATCATCCTCATTCTCTTGCGGTTCACTTCTTGTTTCGGCCCGGCGTTCCTCAACTGAACCGTCGCCGAATGGGATGAAATCCATGTTCGCATCAAACTCGTTACAGGCAACATCATTCTCTTCACTTCTTGCTTCGGCTGATTGTTCGTGGGTATGCTCTCCTTCCAAATGCGCCGCTGCGGGTGCTTGGACCATTTTGGATTCGTCATGTGACAGTTCTCTTGTGTCATCATCGTCGTTGGATGATGCGAGTTGTCGGGTAGCGGCCAATTGGTCAACTTGCGCGGTAGCTTCCGTGACACCTTGTTCCTCCTTGGCTTCTACAAGTATTGATCTCTGCTTGTCGCTCGCTTCCTCCAATTTTTCTTCGTCCGTGTTTTGTTGTTCTGGCAACTTCAACGGTGGCAAGGGCAGCATCTCTCTCGGCAACAGCGACACTTTGTTGGGTCGATTCTCCACGTTGATATGCTGATAGGGGCAGTACGGATCAGCACAGACTCCTGCCAGCTCGTACGGGCACAGGGCCACGTGCGGGTTCAAATGCAACGCGGATTCCTGGTTTGGTTGCTCATCGTCTCGTCCAGTCGTCGCGACATCAGTTTTTGCCTGTTCGGCAATTGGAATATTGTTTTGATTCGATGCTTTCTTGACATGTTGTGTGTTCCCTGCCATGAGCACGAAATCCAAGCATGTATTGCGCAGACTGTTCCGCCGATACTCTGCGGCCTGGGTCGTATCGTTGTTGGCGTCTTGAGCAAGGGTTTCCTCGGCGATAATGTCCATGATTCGAACCAGCGTCTCTTGGGAACCAATGCAAGGGATGAAACTGTGCAGACAAGAATGACTATCGTACATGATGTTGTGTCCCTTCCAAAACGCTTCCAGACGAGACGCGTCCTCGTGAATGGGAATGATGGGGCAACTGGGCACAACCTTCTTTTCATTCGTCGATGATAATGGCAGTGGATTGGTATTGATGTGTGGCGATTCTTCTTCCTCCTGTCCCTCATCATCTTGTTGAAGTTGTTGCTGTTGTTGCGTGGTCCGCTCTTCTTGCCGTCGAATTTCTTCCGTCAACTTTTGAATCTCTTCTTCGGTCAATACAACTACGGCTTCCTCATCATCATCATCATCGTTACTACTAGTACTGGTGGTGTTGAGTCTCATGAGAATGTCTTGGGATTTGGTCAATGACTTTTGCAGATCCTGCAACAATGTTTGGTGCTTGCTTTGACTGGCCAGCAAGTGTTGTTTGCGTTCGCGTTGGAATGCGAGGGCTTTAGCAATCTTGAGTTGTCGAGCAGTAGATGCTTCCATTTGCCGATCCATGCCGTGTTTGCGCGCATTCAAACTCTTGATGGATTGTTCTAGCAAGCGAATTTCTTCTTCCAGCTGAATGGTTTCTTCTTGTAGATTGCTATTGTTGCTGTGGCCTTGATCATGACTTGCCAACAAGTCGTCTTCTTCGGCACTGCTTTCATCACTGTCTGGAGTCTCATCATTGTCGTTTTCCGCATGCTCCACAACAGTCATAGTAGCTTCCACTTCATCCCCATTCGTCTCGGCAACCACTTCCCCAGAAGTTTTGTTTGTCGCCGTTTCTACAGCTTCCCTGTTGTCCCCATGGCTCTCCTCCTCGTCTGGCCATTCTGACGCATTTTCCTCTCCAGGTTTGGCAGTTCGGTTGGCGCTCTCCTCTTGTGCCAGTTCCTCAAAAATGTCAGCCATTGTCACTGCCTAAGAGAAATAGAATGCGAGGTGCAGAGGTTAGCTAGTGCCAAACAAAGTATGTTGATGTGTAAAGTACACGTAGGACTGTCAATCAATGCAAATGCAGTGGACCTCTTTTGAGCAGAATGCTTATTGGTACCGTATGGCAAGATGGTAAATGATCTTTACCAGGAACAACGTAGTATTCTGGATCTGATCTCTGTCCTGCTCATTCATCCCAACAGCTTGACGTACTGTACGTACCAGTTGGCCAATTTCCTTGGATTTGGACCCGTCTCCCCCTGTAGTGGTTTCATGGACGTTGTCCGCCATGTTGGAAGTCTCTTGTGCCAGAGTTGGTTCGGTACTTCCTTCTCTCCCTTTGGCATCATCCTCGGCTTCATTTTCCCGTGGCGCTTGCCCGCCTGTCACAGGATGGCTACTGGTATCAGGGTCGTCAGTGTCACTGTCACTGTCACAATGGGTCAAATCAACCTCGTTTCCAGCAGCCATGGTGTCAGTTTTTCGTCTCTTCGACGCGACGTTGGATTGTTTCTCCTGATCCAAAAGCCTCTTCTTTCGACCCAATTCTTCATCGTCATCATCGCTATGCCCATCCTCCATGCTTGTCATTCCTCCCTCCTGTGCATAAAGTGGACCAAACGACCGCTCTGGCAGGAATCAATCAATAAGAAAACCCTGACAGACTACGGTACAGTACAGTACGGTGCAACTGCCGTAGCCAGAATCTTGTGCAAGGAGATCAACCCACTACGAACCCAGACTAAAGTGCATGGAGCTCAACTCAATTGTTGTGACGGGCGATTTCTTCGTGCTTGGCTGCCTACTAGTATACTGTACTAGTACCGTCTGAACAACAACAAACAAACATCAAAGTGACAACGGCAAGCGCAGCGCCATGGTCGTCGTCGAGAATCTTATGAAAATCGAGAAGGTTGTGGTGAAATAACGTCCAAAAGACAAAATAACATTTGAGAAAAGTAAAAAATCATTTTATGGAAATGCTAACCCTAATGTTTTTTCCTCTGCGCAGGATCGGGTGTAAGATGTGGTTCACGGTACGGTACGGTACAGTCGTACCGCTACCTGTACCGTACGGTACCAGCTTTTGGAAACAGGTAGATGCGGTAACAAGTTTTTCCTATTCAAATATACACAGTAAATATTATCCTTAACTCTTTATTTACCGCAGCTTTCCATCCAAAACTGTCTTCCAGTACAGCTGCACCTGTACCAGTTCACAATCAGAAAAATGGCGCGCAAATCAAATCCGCGAATGGATGCCAATGCTGGTTTTCCCTTCATTATTTTTTGAAATGAAGCAAGAGGAGCAAGAGCAAGATGTTGAGGCGAAGACGACTTACATGTCTTACTAGACGCGACAAGAAGACCCCTGTGGCTAAGGAAAGGAATAAAATGCATCAGGGAAATGGTATTGGCAAGACAATAATAAAGACAGTTCTGGGTTTGGTGGGGGTATCCTTTTTCGTGGGCTTTCGGTCCACTAGAAGTTTTGCCAATACATCCTCAGCCAACAACAACCATTTTCGGACGGAAGAGGAGTGGCTTGCATTTGTTCAAGACTACCAACGAAGATTCCATCGACCACCTCCTCCTGGAATGAAGGAATGGCATCGCTTTGCCACTCAGCATCAGTGCGAAACACAAAATTATTACGAGACTCTCGAAGCTGACATGCAGTACTTTCGACCTCCCAATAATAGTCTGAAATGGGATCGAGTCCTTCCCGAAGCCACACAACTCTCCGAGCACTACATGGCATTTTCATTGGAAAATCACAATCTCACGGTGGTGGGCTATCAAGCCAAAAAAAGTTACGACCCTCACGAACGACGACATCGAAGAGCCATTGAGCGACTATTGAGGTTCTTGTTGGAACCAGTGATCCGTCATGATGGGCCTCCTCTCAATTCCACATTTGTATTCAATCTACACGATACGGCACAACCTATACCCCAACACTACCTCACGCGAAACACATCCACCGGCCAATTCCCACAAATGTACCCCATCTTTTCCGTTTGTAAAATGGACTACTACACCGATGGACAACCACCACCATCGCCTTTTGGCACTACAACTAATGTCAATACCAATACCACTTCACCACCAGCGAGACAAGAACAAGAACAACAACAACCAACTACTATTCAAAATAGAGACTTGATGGTGCCATGGCACTTTAGTTTACGGCGACAATCGCGATGGTTCTGGTTTTGGCCTTGGTTTAAAAAAGGACGACCCTTTCACCGCCGTCGCAATGCCATTACCTGGAGAGGATCCACTACCGGGGTATGGGAGACAGGACCTCGCTTTCAACTGGTCCGGGAATACGCCAATCAAACCAATACGAGTAGCCAAACAGGTGTGGAGGTGGACTTTGCCTTTTTCCGGGTCGTCCAAAAACCAGACCATGTCCCCGAATGGAAGGACCAACACCAGTACCGATTTGCGCCCCACATGCGATATTGGCAAATGCAACAATTCAAGTATATCATGGATGTCGATGGCAATGGTACGTTTGTGAACTGACTAACTGCCATCATTGGTTGTTTCTTTGCCAGCCACAACCTCTCTCTCATTCTTTCTTCTTGCCAAATTATTTATGCATTTTGTAGGATTCACATCACGGTTTCCCGGACTGCTGCGGTCTGGATCGGTGGTCTTCAAATCCACACGCTACCGAGAATGGTTTCATGGAATCCTGCAGCCCTATCGGGACTACATTCCGGTCAATTACAACTTGAGTGACTTGCCACAGAAACTAGCGTGGGCCCAAGGGAACACCCAAGCCATGGAACAAATGGCGGTCGACAGCAAACAACAAGTGGAACGCTTCCTCCGACCCGTCGATATGCAGTGCTACATGTACCGGCTCTTGTTGGAATATCAAACCTTGTTTGAATGAAATGAATGCATGAATGAACCGTCAACAACGGGACAACAAACAAACAACAACCCCGGCATTCTAGCTAGATAGATCTATCCGTTGCAACCAGTTTGTCAGATACATGCATGCATGCCGTGCCACTGGGAGACAAGGACAGGGTGGCTACAGCTAGTGGACAGACTGTTGTGTACTTTCTACCACACAATTCGCAAAAACTCGCATGTCGCACAGTGGCCGAGAACACAGATTGGTACAGTACCTACACGTCAAAACAGACACCCAAACGGAATCATTGAGAGACGGCAGAATCATGGATTCCTTGTCATTTCCGCCTATCTCAGCCGGTGAAGGTGTGCTTCACCGCAAGCAAGCCCTTGGGTACGAATTTGAAGCTTTGGAGTTCTCTGACCTGCCTGGAGTGGCTGGGGCTTTGAACAGACATTCCCTTGGGCAGCCAGCCATCAGGAGGTGATGATGATGCTCAGGCTCACTTTCATTCTTTGTCGCCCTTGGAATAACTTAAGACCCCAACAATTAACTAACTGCTATACCCATCTGTGATGATTCTAGTCATCTGCTGACGGGGCCTTGCCACCCCAACATTTGAATTTGAATGGTGTTCTAGGGTACTGTACCGGTAGTACTACCTCTGTAGCTTGCTAGAACGAGATAGTCTTACTGGAAGTTATGGGTCAGGAGGAGGAATCTCCATAGGGACCATGCTATGGCTATTGGGCAACTCTACCGGAATTCTGGCTGGTTGTGTTTCCACTGCTTGGTTGCCGTCTTCGGAAGCATGGCCGAAGAGAAACAGAGCCATCATCAATCCAGCCGTGGAAAGGAGCAGCAACCCCATGGCACATGCCAAAACTGCAGCAAGTCTCATGCGACTGCTTTGTGGGTCTAAATGGAGAGTTGATTCTTTTTGGTTTGGATGGCTACTAGCGGCAGGATGAGGTCGTGGCTCGTCAGAATGTGTTTTGCTGGCCTTTTTGGGAGGTTTTGGGTTCCTGGCCTTTCCTTTGGAAGGCTTTGGGTTCTTGGACTTTTTGGGAGGTCTTGGGTTGCTGCCCATTCGAGTTGCATTCATTCCAGGGACGGGGGTTGGCGCCAGTTGATTTTCTTCATCTTCTTCATGAAGGATACCGAGCTCATGCATGCCCTGTTGCAATTTTGCTCCACCTTTCCTAGCACCATCATGTTTCTTTTCACTTGAGGTTGCCTTTCTTTTGGAACTTGCACCAACCTTTTGCCCTTCTGGTGGTCTTGTGATTGGCACTGGGACATGAATGCTAATGGATTGCAGAGGCCTATCCTCTGGAATTTTGTCTCTTGGGATTGTATTAGTACTGGTATCTGCAGGTGCCCAGTAATACTGGGAGTGCTGCTTGTTGACTCTGGCCTTGTGTTTTTTGGAACAGGGATAGATCATATGGGTATCCACAGACATACCAGGAAGGCTAAATGCGTAGGTGGAATCATCCATTGCTTCCTGATGATTGCCTCTATAGATACCGTGCGTCTGTGTACCGGTGCCACCAATGATGCTACCACCGCCATTTTGCCGCACTGATGCCTGGTTCAGGCTATTTTGATCGTTACCAGTGGGGCCAGTGATCGATAGGCCATCTATGCTGTGAGCAGATCGCCTTGAGGAAAACGACTCTGTTCGGCGACCCATTGTCTCATCGATTGATTCATGATATGTAAATTGAAGTGCTAGAGCTCCAGCGATAGGACCATGGCGGTGTGGTGCCGAGTGCCGAGGTTGGACCTACGAAAAAGAAGATGCTCAAGATATGGAGAGTGTTACTCAAAACGCTGTAGTTGAGGTAAATATAAGTTAAAGATACATGTGCTATGAATAATTAGAAGCTTTCGAAAATAATGCTGTTACCGCATCTACCTGGCTATCAAACCTTGATGACTTCGAAGTTGAATTCGAATTGAATCGAATGATTCGATTCAATCAATGATTTCCCCGTTCATAACAAAGACCGACCCGCCCCCTTTTGCCCTGCTACCGTCCTCCCCGCCCTCCCAGTACTATCTGAAACCCACTACCGGTACCGATACCGGGGGGGTGCCTCAAACCAAGTGGTTTTGTCTCTTCCTTTCTTACCCCACCTTTTTGACAGTTTGGCGTTTGGGTACCTTCTCCAAC